CCTCAGCACATATAATGGTTTTTGTCACCTATCACATAGATGTCCAGTCTCTATGCTTTATATGTAACAGAACATAGATTCTGCCCATTGTAAGAAGTAATGGAAGCACTTCAATTGATACAGTTTTGCAAAACCTCTTTTTCACAAGTGAGTGTGTCTAGACTCGGAGCTAGTTTCCTGCTTTGCCAGCAAGCCCCATAGAGAGGGGATCCACAGCTACGCAGAAGGAACACAGGGGGGAACCATGTCCCGGACAGACACCACTACATACTTACCTCCCTAATGATGGAAAAAGGAAGCCTGACACAACTAAGTACCTCTCTTGACTCACCTAAGGGAATAGATAGCAATCTGCTACTATCCCATATTAACTTAATTAAACCTAGGAGCTTGGCAGAACTTCTGCATCATAGGAAATAAACAGTTGCAAAATTATTATATTTTTTGTTCCTAACTGGAAGAGAAAATTGAAATTCAACCTTTTCCAGAAAAAAAATATTGGGGGAGGGGAGAGGGGAGGAAATCACAGACAGGAAAGAAAGTAATGATTATTTTGAGATCCCCAAACAGTGATTCGAAATATTGCCTTATACTGTTTGAGAAAAAGAAAGGCCTTTTGTTTTCAAATACATTTTTCTTTTGGAAAACAGAAGTGTTACTTCTTTAAGATGTTTTGAAAGGGACTTCTTCAATTTTTCTAAACAAAAAAAAATGTATCAAAAGCAAGATCCTGCAGCAAAAAATTAAAAATTTATATTAATGGACATTTTTGACAGAAAAATTTTCTGTCAAAAAAGTTAAATGCTCTATTTAATTTGCAGGATACACATTCGATAGTAGTAATTGTTATGGAAAGACAACAGATTCTGTTATCACTGGATGATATTTTATTCTTCACAAGTAAGTCATCTCATGCAGAAATAAGTTAGGTGCCCAGTAGAGAAACACTTAAAAAGAAAAAAAAAAAAAAAAAAAACACCTTATGAACTTCTTTAAAAGTTTACTGTAAATGATGCAAAAACAAAAATAACTAAAAATTAGCAGTAGAAGACTGCCATATATAAAAGTTTGCTATATGCTTCAACATTAGCAAGTCTTATGGACTGATTTCCTTCTTAAAAGGGAGCCTGATTCTCCTTTCACTTAAAAGGGCACAAATCAGGAAAAATTACACTGAAAATGAGTGAGTTGCATTGGCATGAATGAGTGCAAATCAAACGTTGGGTGCCTTTCAGAGAAACCCAAAACTTTGAGGCTGAAAAGGCTCTTGCTTCACTCAGAACAGAAAATAGGAGAGGGGGAGAAAGTGGTTAGAAAATAGAATGAAGCTTAAGTGATGTGGTAGGTCTCTCAGGACTGAATCATTGCTTCACAGACAGACTCATCAGAAAAAAATCCACACAGCCCTCTGTGCTGTGGATTAGGTTTTATTTCACTAGGCTTACATTACCTGCCCGGGATACCTACCAAGAGGCATGCAGCCCACTCATGAGTCTTTTGGATGTGTTCACAGGGTCACAGGTGCCAGGAAAAGAGGCTTTTATTAACAGCACCTGGAATAGCATAGCAACTGTCTGCTCATTAGTAATCAGGCACATCTTCAACACAAGAGTGTGTTTTTTTATTATTGCCGTGTGCTGCTTTACATCTCAAGGCCTCCCTTTAATTGGCATCTGTGAAGATTCAAATCCAGAGTTTTTTATTTTGGTTTGGTTTTGGTTTTCAAGCTGGCTGGCACTGAAACTGCCTCCTGGCTTTGATGTATATTTGTACACAAAGCATTTTCAACCCCACCAAAAATAGTACAGAAGAAACCTGGGCTTGATCCTGACCATGAGCTTACATTGAATAAACTAATTAAATGGTAAGAAGTGACCTGTGCTACAGGGTTCATGCTTTTTACTAAGAGAAAGTTCCTTTTCTCTCTGCCAGACAGGTGTAGGTTTTGCATTGGGAGGCCTGAAAATACTGGGTCATGGCAATGAACCAGGCCCTAGAGTGGCAGTGGCATAATTCAACTCCTTATTTTGAGCTACACTCAAATAGACCAGTTGAGACTCTGACCCTATGAGCTGAAAATGCATTTAGGATGTTGATCATCATTGTTTGTATTTTTATATTGCAAGTAATATTGTCAGAAGTGCCCAAAGTTAGTTAGGAACTCAAACGCCACTTGAAGAAAACACAATGAACAAAGAAGTCTCCACCTCCCCAAAAAACCAAAAACTAACAATGAAGCACCAAAGTCACTTCAGCATTTCTAACCTTCTCATTTGCAGTTTCATATTAAGAATTTTCCTGTTAACAAAATGCTTTTGGCATCCAAGCTGCACACTTCTGAAGAGAGCTCCTGATAAGAAGCTGCATTTTTCAAGCAGAATCTGCACCCTCAGCCTTTGGGCCCACAATTACAGCTCATCTCTTGATGTCATAGGCAGTCAAGGTTCTTTGGATGGATCTGGTATGTTTTATTAGACCAACTTAAATAGTTGGAAAAAAAAAATTCCCCCAAATATTCAAGTTGGTCTAATAAGAGATATCAGATTCATCCAAAGCACCTTGTCTGCCTCTGTCCTTCAACCCACAGGGCTACAACCTACACCTCTATTAATGCCATGTAGTTGTCAGGCTTGTAGCTAGCAGACACCGACCTTGGCTACCCAAGGGGGGATGCTTCCTTATTTCTTCTGGTCTGTTGAGGGCATGTCACCAAATACTCTTTCTGACAGTCAGAGAAGAGCAACTGTAGATGTTTCCCAAACTATCCATCTCATCCAAACTTTACAAACAGGCTTATACCCACTCAGCAAAATGCCCCACTGCCCAAACTATTTAATCCCAACACTAATAGCCAGTGTTTTCCCAAAAAAGAGAGAGACATGAAAAAAACAAACCCAAAAATTAAAAAAAGACCAGACATGCAGCAACCCACACCCCATTTGGCAGCCTTTAATCAAGGCCAGAACAAGTCTCAGCTGCGGTGGTTTCAGTTCCAAGGCTCTGCTTTAACCCTTTCCTTTCCTCCTAGGGACAGGATCCTTTAGGGCCATGTCAGTGCCAGCAACCCCAACAGGAAATAAGCAACACAAACTGTTCTCCAGGGAAAGTGGATGAACAGAAAGCAAGACCAGAAATACCGTGGTGTGAAGGGACGTTCTGATCACAGATCACAGATGCACAGCAGAGGCTTGCATGCTGTGTGTTCACAAAACACACACACAACACGACCTCCTTCTGTTTTCAAACTCACAAAACATTTTGGAAAACAGGCAGGGACCCTAATTAGGCCTTTGTCTAGGAACAGTGTTGTTTCTAAATATTGCATGCTGTTTTGAAGCAATACTGGGGATGCACTTATGAGACAAACTGATTTTGGGGCAGCATCTGTTGGGGATAATAGCTTTATTATAATAAAATAACCTTGGTGTCTTCTAGCTTTACTTCCTTCCAATTCAGCAGATATATTTTGTTCATAAAATAAGAGAAGTTACATAAAAGAGGGAGATGAA